GGTTATAAATAATATAGTATTGAATGTCAGAGAGAACTATTGGCAGTTTCTGAAAGAGAGGATGTGACATGTGAGTGTGGCAAGAGGAATCTGATTGTCTATTTCATGGCTTTGTAACCAAATAAGATTGAAGGCTATGAAAATTATGCTTTGCCTGAGTGATGACGATATTATAATGAGTAATTTAAGTTAAATTTCATACTTCTTGGAGGTGTGGTAAATAGATTAGAGAAGAGAGGATGCCTAGAGACCAAATGTCACAATTCTCATACTAGAGGAAATTCTAGATTTTTGTTTAATATTGCCTTGTAAAAGTAAAAGCTTAAAACTTGTAAACTATTAAAATATGGATTATTAGCTATGTTTTTATGCTATATTTATTGGTGTACCATGAAAAGAAAGTAGTTTAATTACATTTTGAATGTAACTCACTAAAACCTCGAGATGTGCAGAAAAAAGATGCCTATGGAGAGAGGGTTAATAACTTTTGATAACAGTCTCCACTGCCATATTTTCTAAAAAATCTCAATTATGTATCAAAGAATTTCCCTATTTTTCTGTAACACCTGATTTTGCATCTTCATGTACATCATCTAACATTGTGAAGTGAGGTTTCTCGTGCACATCATATAATTTTTACATTTTAAAACTGCTTTCTGGTAATATATAAAGATTATATTCAAACTTAACACTAATTCTTTTAGAATAAACTGCCCAAAAATGGGTGAAATTCTGCCAGTACTCACCAGGGACTAATTTAAGCTGCTTTGTCATTTTTTTGTTTACTCTTAACTTTTTTTTTCTTTTTTGAAAACAAAGCCACTTCACACAGCTGAGTACTTCTACTTTTTTTTTGAGAATTTCACTGTTGCCAAAAAGTAGATATCAATATGTTTTGGTAATAAAAATTATATCAAAATACCAAAAATGCTTCAACACACTAGTTAGATCTTTCTTAAAATATTCGCTGCTTCTTTGTTTTTGTTATCTATAGGGACTTGATGGTATACCAGGTCAGATAGGAATGAAAGGAGAACGAGGAATTGATGGTTTTCCAGGCATTCCTGGACAACCAGGACTTAGGGGAGATGATGGTTTTCCGGGTGAGCGTGGTAGGCCAGGACCACTTGGATTAGATGGTAATTTTTATATCTTATGTTGCTTCTCTTGTAATCCAAATATTACTATACATGAAATTATAAGTATTACCTTAGTTCAGATGTTGGTTAGAATATATCAAAAACATTATCTTGTTGGCCATACTTAAGAATTGATTTTGGAACATTAATTTAGTTATATGTTGTTGTTTTTTCAAGGTGTGAAGGTTCTACATGTGATATTTGTTTAGAGTTAATTTTCTTAATATTCCTAAATATATGCTTTATCTAACTAATTTAGAGTAGTTAAAAACAATTCAATTTATCATTATTATTCAACAAAAGTCATTAAATTGATGATTATTCAAGAACAAGAAATATAACAAAATCACTAATAGTTCTGAAAATGATGAAAAACTGATTTTTTGTTTCACAATTACTCGCCCCTAGTGGCACAGCAGTATGTCTGCGGACTTACAATGCTAGAAATCAGGTTTCAATACCCGTGGTAGGCAGAGCACAGAGAGCCCATTGTATTGCTTTGTGTTTAATTTCAAACAAACAAACACAATTACTTAGAATAATATTTTTTACAAGACCTTATTAAAATATTTACTTACAATTGAACAAGTATTTGCACTAAAGAAATGTGTAATGATAGTTACTTTAAACCATACAAGTTCACTGCAAGTAGTAACTTTTAGCCAGTTAGCAGAAATATGGTAAAGTTGTCAAGATCTTAAAAATTCTACTGAATTTTAAGTTTCTTGTACTGGAGTGTAAAAAGTAGGTAACATTTCCATCTCTGTGCTGAGACTCAGCAGTGGGTGATATTTTACTTAAGCATCGGAATAATACTACATAAGGTTACATAATGTCATGCAGTGAGATTGAATCTTCCCCCGTTTGCCATAGTGAGTTATTCAGTAAACACAACAGGAAATGTCGATATCAATTTCAATAACACGATTTTTTATAATGCGTTGTATTGATAAAATAGACCAAGTGGAATGTGTTAGAATGAACCGTATTTATGGAAATTCAAGCACCGTATCACC